GAGTGTTCATGAGACCAATCTACAGAACACAATGGATACTCTAGATTAAATTTACGTGAACGAATGACAAGTGAATCACAAGCTCTACACTATGATCCTTTTAATCTCCAAATCTAAGTTAGCAATTACAGAAATTAGCCAACCATAAACACCTTGAAACTCTGCAAGCATAATACATTGCTACAACCACAACAATTCATCACATCACAGCAGCGAATTCGACAAAATCAGTTTTGATTTCTGGAGATATTTTGAATAAAAAACGAAAAAAGTAAGTGAAGATGATTACTGTATCAGATCTTGGAGTTGTTGATACCTAGTGCGAGGATTGATCCCTTTCCGAAGCACATTATCCTGCATATGTAAACCGTTCGACCTAATCAGATCTTTAACCCAATCTATATCCTCTTGCGACGTCGAAATCATCGTCGTCGTTCTGGGAGGATATAGATGAAGGACATGAGCATGAAGACGATCGGATGAAGAAGGTAACCGCCAAAAACGACGCAGATAGACTGAGGAGGAGGATGATGAAGAAGAAGACGAGAGAATCGCCATTAATGCACAATCTCTGGAGCTCAACGGATTTATTACGGTGGGAAATAAACCGACTCAGACCGGGGTCCAAAACCACGCGGTTTCCATCTACTACGGATTACAAAATCACAATTCACAAATGTTGAATAATCTTCTTTGGCTAAAATGTTTACATAAATTTTGTTGATGAGGATTAACGAATTTTTTAGACGAGTATAGATTCCGTTTTTACTGGTTTTGTCTTGATCAAAACAATGGAAGAAGCATGATAGATTTGATACAACCACACTCATTCATTACTTTTGTACACGTTATTACAAACCATATTAAGACATCCGTGATTCACTCAACAAATTTATAAGCATTTTTTTTACCTATTTTGGGTTACAAAAAAAGCATATCTCAAATTCATCACACAAACAAAATTGTGACAAGATAATCGAGTTGAAAAATCCATATGTGATTATTAAAATTATTTTCATCAATGCGAACATATTCATTTGTTTCTCTGTTTTCTTTCTCCACAATAAGAAATTAAAACATTCATCTCACTTACTTCATCATTCACTTTTTTTTTGTAACCGAATAAATTCCATTAATCAAATAGTATAAGTAAAGACTTGTTACAAAAGAAAGTATGATATTATAAAATCAAATCCACAACACCACTGTGCCCTCAGGCACTTGAACAGATTGACAAAACAAAACCATCAAACCCTTTCACACATCTCTTTGAAACCTCCAAAGAAGATAGAATCTGGAATATTAATTATGATCCAGCTTCTGTGAAACCCCCCCATACACACATCCAACATCAAGTTAACACCAAACCAAAGAAAGATCTGACAAACAAAACATATAGGCATTGTGGTTTCTATTGGAGACCCTACTCAGGCTCAAACCAGAAGTCTGAGAAAAAGGAAACGAAACTCGTACTTTCACAAGACATGGAAAAGAAAGAAGAAAGACCTTTTTCTTGATCGAATACTGTTAGATCATGTCAAGCTTGACATTCTTCGTCTGTGGTGACAAAGTTTAGCTCTCACATTTGGATCTGTTGAAGTAACCATCTTGCTTCTTGGAAAAGAAGTATCTTTGATATTCTTTTTTGCTAAAGAAATATCTTTGGTATCCTTTTTAGGTGTTTCTGGTGTTCCACTGTTAGCTGGAGCTTGAAGCGGTTTTGTGTATGATCTTCTAAGGAGACCTCTGCTACGCGTTTCAGAGAGGCTAAACGACTGAGAATTGGAGAGCTGAGTTAAAGTTTTCGCCACTGATCGTATGCTCTGTGCCTTTGCATTGATCTCTTTCTCTGAGGTAGTTTGCCTATGACGACTAGCAACAGTTGAAGTCATGAAACGAGGGACAAACCCAGAACTCTTGCTTACTTTCACAAGTTTATCAGATGGTTTTGGCGTTACATCGGTCTCTTTCAGATGATCTAAAGGCGAAAGAACTCTCTTTTCGATGTCTTCTAGATGCTTATCATTGGTGATCCAAAAGAGTTTCTTGTTCTCACTAAGTAGACACTCTGCTTCCTGTAGCCGCAATTTGGTATTCCTGCAATTACGTTGAATTTCTCGCATTTCTTCTTCAAGTTCCGATATTTTCTTTTCTCTTAGCTTTCGAAGTTCCTATGCAATGATGATGAGAACATTCAGCAATCAATGTGATAAGATATAATGCAAATACTATAGCACATGTGCTTACTGCTGTTAGTCCTCTGTTAGATTCTACGGCTCTCGCACGTTTTGTAAAGCTCAGAGAGCAAACTGTTTCACCGACATCTTCATCACGTGGACTTATGTGCACAAGCATCAGAACCTTTGATCTAGTACCTAAAAAGGTTAAATCACATATCCATTTAACTCAAGAAAGCAATCAAACTTAGATAACGTCAGCAAGACTTTAAGATATTATTATAAGCAACCATATGCCTTTACCTAGAGAATCTTTAAGGATCTGAGTTAGCTTGCTATTTCTGCAACCAAGGAAAAGAAAAAGCTAAAACTCATCAGCATGACAAAAGCGAGATTTAATTCACTTCAGCCAGATAGATGTATCTGCTTCAATGGCATATGTGTGTTAAAAGAAATTAAAAGCTAAGAGCTTGCCTGTAGGGCACATGTCCTTTCTTTCTCCTCAAAGCAGCAATCACGTCTCCAAGAGCGGAAAGTGAGAGGTTTATGGCCCGACCTTCATCCAGAGTTTGCCCTATTGCCCCGGTCTTCAACAGCCTCTCGCTTCCTCCAAGATCTATCATCCAAAGCTTGCTAACTTCAGTTTTTGACCCCACAGCATCCCCACGACGAAAGATTGTGATCCTTGTTAAACTAGAGAGAAACTAACTGAATAAGGGTAACTACCAAAAAGAAATAACAAATGAACTGAGAATTGACAAATACAGTTGGAGAGCCATCAAGAACCTACCAATGAGATCTGCTCGAAGCTTCATTCACATTTGTCCAAGAAGTTGATCTGACACGTCTCCCTTTGTTGTACCACCATCTAGCTTTTGTAAAATCCGGTACTTCCACTTCAGTCAAACCCTCGATTTCGACAGAACCCTTTGAGTCTACTTGAATATTGAGATTGCTGCATCGAAGTTCAGGCAGATAAGAGTTAGTGCTTAGAAAAATGTTTGTGGTTTTAGAGATAAACCTTTGGATACAAAAGCTGGTTACTTACCATTTAGTTGAGGCGTCATTTGACCTCAAAGGCTGTCTTGCAGACAAGAGATCTTTCAGGTTACCCATATAGATTTCCAACATACTCATTGTAAAAGTCACGGAATGTGTATGATCTATCGAAGCTTCATTGAAAAGCTCTTTCATAGCTCTAGGAGCAAGACCTGGTTCCTCATTTGTGCCATCCTAGAAAAGGAAAAAAAAAAAAAAGCTCTTCCTCAACAACTCTCCTAAAGAATTTGTTGAATAAAATCGGTGTACCGAGAATGACTAACCATGGTGAAAGTCTTGCCTGTCCCTGTTTGACCATACGCCAAAACACATACATTGTGACCATCAAGGGCAGATCTAAGAATCGGTTTTACTTCTCCGAAAACGTCTTCTACAGAGTTTTTTTTTTTCAACCAGGAGAAGGCCTCATTTACTCACAACTGGAAGGAAACAGAAAGCTAAGAGATACCACAAAAAGGGAAATCACTAAAGCCTAACAACAGACTGACCTTGAGTTGCCGTCTGATGGAAAACCTTATCAAACTCAAATTCCTTTCGAGTTCCAGCAGATCTAACAATAACATTGTCTGGTCCAAACGAAACAGGTTCACAAATTGGTCTCCTTTCTGTCAATAGAAATGGCCTAACTCTACAAAACACACGTATACTTCCTGCAAATTGAACCCAATCGTTAAGATAACAATCAAATTTAAACCAAGGAAAAAAGAGTTTTAACATTGTGGAGTTGCAACCTTTAGTGTCTATAATCTTGTTCAGAATTTCCCTTCTCTTTTCATCAAATGACTTCAGCATCGACTTCAATTCCAAAACTTCCCCTGTAAATTCCAACCCAAAATCAAATCAAACTTAAGCTCGACTTCATTTTAAACGTCTTGATCATTGAGAAAACATACCATGAACAAATACTGTGGTAAGAAAACAAGAGGAATCAAGGGATACCTTGGAGGTTTGTTATTGATTTTTCAAGCTCATTCATTTCATGCTCAGGAACAACATTTACATCGGTGTAGAGCAAAGGAACAGGTTGGGGAGATTCAATAGATTCAGGAACTGACATTGAGCTAACTGGAGACTGAGGGATCAAGATCTCTCCTTTTTCAGCTGAAGAAATCAACATTTTTCTTAGCTGACTTGAACGCGATCCAATTTCTGACAGACAAATAAAGAATCCAAAGAGGAAGTGGGAGTGGAATGGAGACGACGACAACAACAACTCAATGTAAGAATGGTAGTTAGGAACAAAGAAAAAAGAACACTAAAAACTCATCATTATTATAATAAATTGCAGAGCTTGGAACAAGAAGACAACTTGAATTGTCTTTAACTCATTATTGTAAGTTCCAAGCAGAGAGAAAATAAATGTTTTTATTTGTCAGAAACAAGAAAACCCTTCGGGGAAAAAAAAAGTTATATTTAAAAGAAAAGTGAAGATGAAGCAAAGTAACCCAGAAGAATCCCAGGAAAAGAAAGAGAGAGAGTAAAATTTACAGACTTTAAAGAATCTCAATCTCGTGAAGCATTAACCAGATAAACAGAAACAGAACCAGATTCGCACATGCAAGTGTATTTGGAATTACAGCTAGAAATCTAAAACAAGTAAAAAAAAAAACCCAATAATTTCTCTCAGAGGCATAAGATCGAGCAAGTGAGAGACAACAACGCAAGCGAGATTGAGGGAGC